AATCTTGGCCGCCGCGAGGTCTTCTGTCGCAGCGTTGAGCTCGGCCTGGAGTGCTTCGGCCGCGCGATCTTTGGCGGCAAGACTCGCCTGGAGCTCGTCGATCTTCTCTTGCATGGCCCGCGACGCTTCGTCTTGGGCGTGCAACACCTTGCGCATCGCATCGAGACTGTACGCCTTCTTTTGATGCATCTCGAGCGTCTCTTGGAGCTGCTGCGTCTTGACGGCGCTGGCTCGCCACGCAGCGTCGAGCTTCTGGAGGTTCATGAGCGCCTTCTGGTGCTCCTGCTCAAGGCCCGAGAGGTACCCGGCCTGCTCGGCGAGCATGCGCTCCTTCGTGACAAGCTCCTTCTTGAGCATGAAGCTCTCTTCTTCGAGCTCGAGCGCGCTCGTGTCGCCGCCGACGCGCTCCAAGAGACGGCTCTACATGCAGCCATGAGCCTTGAGGAGCATGGCGCATGCAGCGTACCCGCAGGTGGGCGACCTCCATCTTGAGGTCCATGCGGTCGCGCTCGATCTCGTCCAGGCGCGACTTGGCGCTGCCGACGAGCTCGTAGGCCTCGGACCCGCTTCGGTCCATCGCTCTCTCTCCCTGTCTGCGCCAAGCTGTCCGTCATTGGTCGACGGCCGTGACTTGAACTACGTATGTCGGGTTCCAATCCGGAGTCCGTTTATCAAAACCGACAGGCGTGTATACCCGACACAAGGGAAGGACGACACTCTTTTGAGTGAGTCTAACGCGCTGCAAACAACATACCCACACCCTACTACATAGTCCAGTCCATTGGGCGCAATTCCTACTGGCAGAGATAGCACACGGTGTCCGTCGTCGGCGTGCCAACGCATTTACACGTCGACGTGCGATTTACATGTCGGCTAGAAGATACGTAACACGGAGAAGAAACAGTGTCTCCGCAAACAGTGCTTGACACTGACGAGTCTTCAACGCTGTCCTCAACGGGTGTAGTCCGCTGATCGTGGTTTTGTGTCTGCTACATGGTTATGAGCCGTTCCGATCTATTATACTCGCAGCGTCGCTCGATTGCAGTAGTCGAGAGGGCTGCGGCACTAGACCACCTCGGTGCGATTCGGGAGGGGGCTTCGAGGACACTGCTGCTTGCGGCGACGACGATGTATTGGCACTAACACGAAAGACTCTACGGCCTCACCTTGCACGGGACGGACGGATGGAGATCCACTTCCAAGTCAACTGTCACACCACGGCAAGTGAGCATGGAAGATGCGACGAAACGACGAACGCGCGTCATAATATGAGCCACCATCACAGCAGAAATACACTGTATTACGAGTGTTCTCCCTTCTTCCCTGGCTTGCACCGCCTTCCCATGCACGTTCCTCCTGGCTCAACTTTGCTCGACGACAATGCATGCACGCGGTCGCGCACAAGTTGATTCCAAATACGGTGCCGGGTCGAATCGATCCCAGGGCCACTTGAACGGCTCCTATGGTTGCGCTGCGTTGGCAGTCGACTCGAAGCATTGCATGTTCACCACGTACATCCCAACGACGTTGGCGACACACAAGTCCACACTTTGCCGCTCGTACCAGGTATAACGACGAGCTCGGTCGCTTCACCTAATCGCATACTAAAAAATGCAGAAACGAAATGCGATGGGTGCGCCAGGACTCTTCCGACGCTCTTATCATCGTGGCATCGGATCCAAACCTCCAAACCTCCAAACCTCCAAACCTCCAAACCTCCAAACCCCATCCACGTCGACGTGTACCACGGCAATAACAAGTTTATACTCTTGTTTATTCCCTTGACGTTGAGTGCGTGACCGTCGGTAAGACATCTTCATCACGCAACTCGAGTTGATCCCGTCGTCGCCATGTTGAGCGTTTTAAAACGAGGACCCGAGTCGGCGCTTGTATTTTTAGGCGCGCCCGTTGGTCGCAAGTACAGTGGGGCGTCAAGGACCGCGCATGCTTCTCGACCACAAGCCGACGCGCATCGTGCCGTCGGTGGACTCGCTCTCGGACACGAGCACGCGCATGCCCAAGCCGACCGAGCCGGTGCATTTTCATGCGATCACGGCGCGGTTTGTGAACCACCCCAAGCTCGAAAAGCTGTATCGGGAGAAGGCGGTGAAGGAGTGGTCGCCGCGGTCGTTCAAGATCGTGCTCGCCTTCCTTCTACTCTACTTTATCTTTGTGGCACCGAATTTGACCAACCTCACGTCGTCCGACCCGTCGATCCGAGAGCAGTCCCAAGAGTACTTTCTCTATGTCGTGCCCTCGATGGTACCGGTGCCCTTCTTGCTCTGGCTCGCGCGCCTCGAGCGCTTCCAAACCTACTACCACAAGATTTACTCGACGATCGTGCTCTGCTGGACGTGCTCGCTCATCGGCGGCGGCATGCACTCGCTCCTGCGCGAGTGGAGCGTCTACATCCAAGACGACATGTCGACGTTGCTCCAAGCCGCGCAAGTCTTTAACCTCACGGCCACGTACACGCTGTCGTCCCAAGGCGGCGTTTGGCCGTACGAGACGATGCAAGGCACCGGCAAAGACATTTTGTTCCAGTTTATGGGCGACATCCTCCTCCCCGCGGCCACGATGAACATCAACTTGCTGCGCATGATCCTCATGTCCGTCTTTGTGCCCCTGCTTCGCATCGACACGCCCCACGCTGCCACGGTACGCCTTTCTTTCTCGCTATGTGGATGTTGTATTTTGTTGTTTGATTTTTGGATTTTTGGATTTTGAGTTTGGTATTTATGAGTTTGCGTGGAAGATGTCGGATGTTTCATGTTTGAGGTTTCATGTTTGAAGTTTGATTTCTGGTGTTGCGTTTGGGGTGGCCCCACGCATTCGGGCCAAGGATCGCGTGCTCACACCATGTTGTGCTACATTAGGTCAGCGTCATCTCGAGTGTGTCGTATGGGGTCTTGACGCTGATCATTTACCCGCGCACGTCCAACAAATTCTTCATCACGAACGAGATCCTCGTGTGCTGCTTCCCGCTCCTCTTTTCGATCGTGCTTTTCCTCCAGAACCGCGACATGGAGCGCATGTTTCGGCAAGAGTTTCTGCACATGCACGAGGTCGAAGAGGAAGCCGAGTTTGCCTACCAGCAGCGCGAGGCGATTGCCGAAGAAAACAAAAATCTCAAAAATGAACTCAAACTCGCCAAGCAGCACGAAGGTCACCCACCTCGCGTGTGACCTCGTCGTCGCTTCATTTCAAACGATTCTAGGCACGACCATTGACCTCGAGTCGCCCGTGCACAAGATCATTTCGGACCTCAAGACCCTCCAAGATGAAATGAAACTCAACGACAGCCATGGATTCAAACTCTCGGGCATCATTTCGGCACTCTCCAAGCTCGACGCCAACCTCTTCACGCCCGATATCAACGCGCAAATGGGCTCGTCCAACGGCGTCGACGTCGACACAAAGAACTGGGCCATCTCCGTGCTCGGCAAGAAAGAGTACAACCCCCTCGGGCGCAAACAACCGCTCAGTCCCGACGGCCGCAGCAAGTCGAGCGGCCATGTGCTCTCGTCTGCCGGGCACGGCGCGGTGTTTTTGAGTCACATGCCACCGATCGAGACCACGTCGCTTCATAAAATTCAAGCGCGCATCGCCAAAGACGGATGGAGCCTCGATGTGCTCGGCCTCGAGTGCCATGGCCACCCGGTGCTCTATGTGGGCCTCGCGGTCTTTGAACTCCATCACCTCTACGACCAAGTCAAGGTCGACCCGGTTGCGCTGCAGAACTTTCTCTTGTCGATCGACGAAGGGTACCTGCGCAACCCTTATGTACGTCCTTGTATTTTTTTGTCTTTTGTGACAATATATATAAAATGTCGCATAGCACAATGCATTCCATGCCGCGGACGTGGTCAACTCGGTCAACTACCTTATTTCGTCGCTCAGCGGCGGCTACATTCGCAACTTGCTCACCGAGCACGAGTTCTTCGCGGCGCTTGTGGCTGCCGCGATCCACGACTTTCGACACCCGGGCCGTAGCAACAACTTTATCATCAAGGCGCGGGACCGGCTCGCGGTCCAGTACAGCGACAAGAGCGTCCTCGAAAACATGCATCTCGCCGAGTCGTTTTTTCTCTGCCAAGAGAACCCCAACTGCGATATCTTTATGCACATGAAGGACAAGAACTACCGCGACGTGCGCAAGGCCATCATTGAGATGGTGCTCTCGACGGACCTCAGCATGCACCTCCAGCTCGTCGGGTCGCTCAAAGCCATGATCCTCTCGGACGAGAAGCACGACATTGCCAACGACCCGCTCGTCATCATGAAGGTCATTTTGCGTCATAAAGTGCGAACCAAAGGACAATATTGTGCACAGGTGGTCGTCAAGTGCGCCGACATTGGCCACTCGGCCAAGGGCGTTCGGCTGCACGGGCTCTGGTCGTCCATGATCATTGAAGAATTCTTCGTGCAAGGCGACGCCGAGCGCGACGCGGTGACCGACATCTCGCCCTTCATGGACCGATGGGCCGAAAACAGCGCCAAGGTAATTTTGAACGTTGCGGAAAGGCAGAGTTATAGCTTGTGCGTAGAACCAAATTGGGTTTTTCGAGTTTATCGTGCTCCCGTTCTTCGACACGGTGTCCAAAGTCGTCTTTCCAGACGCGTTCCGACCGATCCAGAACGCCACGAAGCGCAACTACGCGCTCTGGAAGGAGGCGAGTCGAAGGAACTTGACCGTGATCCAGTCGATTCGCGACGCCCTATTTAGCGACGACAACATCGTGATCGTCGATCCGTCGACCAACACCACGTAGTCGAATCGGGCGAATTGAATGGGACGTTGCGTTTCCTAGTTGAGTAGGCTTGGCCGTCGTAAATAAATAAATCTATAGTATATTCCATTCGATAGTTTGTGTGAGTTTCGAACGTCATCCCTGCATTGCGCGTCAAAACAGAGTCCACACAATGGAGGACTTGCACCGTAAAGAAGATCAAGCGCATAAGCACGGCCAACGCTGGAGGTATGCACGCTGGCTACGTTGTCCAGCTCAGAGAGTTGCGAGACAAGAACCCTCGGCAGCTCTGAGTTCGCTGTGCACATGTCCTCGATGCTACCGGTACAGACGTGGCGTTCGAGGCGTGTGACTCGCGCGCAATGGACGATTAGAACCGAACTATTGGTTGACAGAACCTCGCAGATTGGAGATGGCAACAGTACCCATGGTCTGGAATGTACATGTGTTCTTTTTCAACTATCCAGTATCGTAACTATCCGAGGTCGATCCTGGCGCAAGACGATCGCGCCTGTAGCGTGGCTGATACACCTCAAGTCGTTCAAGATCACCAATAGACATCACTAAAACACCGAGGACGATGCCACGACTCCAAATCGACGACCGACCGGTATGTCCCCTCGGGCCCACGAGGGTCTCTCAATCGTACCACGCACGACGAGCGGTAGAAATCAGAGTCATCAACAGCTGGGAGCTGAGGACGTGGGACCGCCTGCTAGATGCAGTGCGTTGCACACCCGATCGACGGTTCCACCGGCGGCGTCTTTAGCGTGACGGCCATATCCGCGAAGTTCACCGACCGCTCCCTTTGGCCGTGTGCGTGTGTCTTACGCGGGCGCAGTTGCACAGCCTTCGCCCTTGGTCTGCGTAGCAGCTCGCCTGATCCTCGCAACCCAGCGGCCTCACCAAGGCATTGTTGCTTGGGATTCTTCTTCGCCGAATACGTTGCACAAGCGTCGCTTCTTTCCATAAAGCAGACTCGCAGCGTTCGAGCACCGCGAAATGCACACCGCTGGACCGAGCGAGACTCATGCGATCAGTTAGAAAGGCCCCACGGTATTCCGTTACATCGGGTAGACTCAACACAACATGTGCTTCTGTATCAGCCATCTGTTGCGCATCAATGGTCCGCCATCGCCGTCGCCTTCGGGACTAGAACGCCAGCCTCATTCTGCCTTTGGCACCTTCTTGCACATTTACTCAATATGCCGTCTCCAGTGACTTTGGGCGCCTACGCCGTCGAGACGCCGCGTGACGATTCTGCGTCGCCGAAGGCGCGGTCGCCGCGGCGCTTCAAGCTCGTCATCGGCGTGCTCCTCGTCTGCGGTGTCGTCATGGCCGCGGTCGGCGCGTCGATCTATGTCTTCCGCACCAAGGTGTCGACGAATGCCGGCGACATTGTGACCAACTTGCAGCAGTCGCCTGCGATCCGGCTCACGCTCACGGCCAAGCGCGCGAGCATGGCCTTCAACGGCAAGACGTCGGCGCAGATTTACATCGTGCCCCGCACGGCATCATCGCCTTCTTTTGCGTTTGACGCGATCTTGTCCCAAGTCGGGCCCGACATGACGCAAACGTACCTCCTCCGCGATAACCGCGCGTACTACTCGCTGTCGCACAACGACGTGGTCGTGGACGCCGGCTGCCTCGACGCGTCGCAGCTGCCGCCGATCGAGCTCCTCGAGTCGAGTCTCTCGACCGCCAACGTCGTCGACGCGACAAGTGGCGACGTCATCTCGGCGTCCGACTGCCCGGACGGCAAACTGCTGCACTTGACGTTCGCTGGCGAGGCCTATGTCTTTTGCAACTCGGAGAACAACAAGCTCACGCGCGCATCGTCGCCCGACCTCGACATCGCCGTCGAGTACCTTGCCGATGTCTCGAGCGTACCGTCCATGGATGTTCCCGCGGGGCTTTCGTGCCCGGTGGTCGTCGGGCCGTCGCAACCGGCGCCGGCGGCCACCTTGCTGCAGACGTCGGCGGCCGTGTCTTCGGCGCTCTTTGGCGCGCCGCGCGTCGCAACCGTCTCCAAGTCATCGTGTGCTTGCAAGTCGACGCCCAAGCCGTGCCTCTTTGTGCACGGTGTCGGCGAGCGGTCGAGTGCGCCGCTGGCCGATTCGTATGCGGGCAACTGGGGCTCGATCGAAGAGCACGCACCGTGCTGCTCCAGTATCAAGTTTGCGCATTTCGATACCAACACGCGGAGCTGGACCAACGAGACGCTGCAGCAAGAATTCTGCGACGCGGCCCAAGTGGTCTCCGGCAGCCCGTCGCCGGCGATCAACAACCTCCTCCTCGTGACGTACTCGATGGGCAATCTCATTGCTGGTGCCGCGATTCACAACAACAAGTGCAACTTCGGAAAGGACGTGACGTGGGTTTCACTCGCGAGCCCGATGCAAGGCAGCAAGACCTCCAACGAAATCGAGACGCAATGCGCGGGCGGCTCGCTCCAATGGATTCTCACCAAGGCCGGCCGGTGCCCGACCACCGAAGGGTACCTCTCGATCCGGCACCAGTCGACCGTCTCGGGCGAAATGCGCGCGCAGTTTGCGGCGGCGCAGGCGGTGCGGGCCAAATACGCCAACCGGCTTCTCTGCGGCACGAACGCCTTTGGCATCACGTCGGGCAAGAGCCTCGAAGTGCTCGTTGTCGGCAAGATCTCGCACCACGACGACCCGACGTACGACGGATTTGTCGACTTCTCCAGCTGCTCGCAAGGCTTTGACCGGACCAAGTTTGGCACGGACGCGGCGACCGCTCTGCACTACGAAGCGAGCATCAACCACTATGACTCATCGTTTCTGAACGGCGACGGCTGGTGGGGCGCGGACCGCAAGCCCGTCAAGTGGTTCGAATGCGCTTTGTAAGCCCATCCTCCTCAATGTCAGAATCAACTCGTCCGATCGCAGACGAGTACTGCACCTACTAGTCTATTATTCCCGACACAATAATAGAGTCTTGTGCCGCATGCGACTCGGTCGAGACCACTCTGCCCTTCTTTGCTTGGCGACGCAGGAACCCTCATACTACAGAAAGCGCCCACCGAACGTTATCCAATTCTTCAGCAATCTTGGAACAGCCAACATCGAGCGCTTTTGCTCTTTAAGTGCTGTGGAAAATGACCTTTTAGCCAAAGTCTCAGACTCTTAGACCCAGTCGACTCGACTGGATTACTAGTCGCTCATTTATACCAGCGGATTGGTACCCGCCCTCGTCTAATTTATGGATAAGGCCCTTGTCGTGCCACCAGCCACGCGAGCGCAGTGCTGATGTGCAGCAGCTCAAACGTACAACAAGTGCCCTGTTATCCAGCGGTTGCACGTGCTTTTCTCTCTCTCTTCTCTCTCTTGTCCAAATCATTTTAGAGTTGGCAGCATTTATGGTATATATATATATATATTCGCGCCGCCCTCGCGCTAGATCGATCGCTGACCTCTGGCACATGCCTTTTCTGTCTCTGTACATCGTTTGTGGTGGTGTGCTACACGCTCCAGAACATCGACTGGGCCGAGGATGCAGCCAGCCTCTCAAGCATCACGCTCTACGATCTCGGTGCTTGCGGATGAATTGATACACTGATACTGAGCCAAGTATCAAGTTGAAAGGCGCATAGCGCACGCTGTAGGTACGCTGCGAGCACCATTCTTTCGTCTTTAGACTCCCTGTGTCATGCTCTATCCATATCCAACGAAACACGAGACTTGCTTAAAAACGTCCCAGGTCGATCCACTGCGCGCAGCGCTCAGCGTGCCGTCCGCCTAGTCCGGATACCGTTGTCCGGATAAGTCCGGCTCGCCAGGTGATGCACTGAATTCGGATTTGTCCTACCTAGGACCTGCTGAATTTCGGCCGCTGCGACATGTGCGAGAAGGGCAAGCCAGCCGCCCAAGTCGACAATCGTCTCGATGGCCCGCGCTCCGCTCACTGGCAACAGCGTCGTCGCCGTCATTGGCGCCGGCACGCTCGGACGGTAGGCCTCGTAGGGCCATGCGTCGTCTCACGCTCGCTCGGTAGCTGCATCGCCTTTGAACTCTCCATGTCGGGCCACCGCGTCGTGCTCTTCGACCGGAATCCCGACAGCATCTCGCGCGACATTCTCAAGTCGGCGAGCTACGCGATGCTGCAGCCGCTCTGGCGCCTCGGCTACATCCCGCAGGACATGGTCGGCCGCGCCGTGAGCAACATCCAAACCGCGACGACGCTCGAAGAGGTGGCGGCCGCGCGACCCGCGCTCGTGATCGAGTCGATTCCGGACACGCTCGGGCTCAAGCGCGACCTCTTCCGGACGCTCGAGCGGCTCTGCCCAGCGACAACGATCTATGGCACGTCGACCATGAACCTGAACGTCAACGACATTGCCTCCGGCATGGCGCGTCCCAGCCACCTCCTTGGCATCCGCTTCTTCCACCCCGTGCTGCTCATTCCACTCGTCGAGCTCACGCCGGGCGCCGCGACGGCCGCAGACGTGGTCGCCGACGTCCAGCGCTACATGACGCTTCTGCACAAGACGTGCAACTTTGGCCCGACCAAACACGTTCTCGACGTAAAGACTCTGCTCACTTTATCTCGTCTTATCGCACGATGGGCGTAGCGCGCGCAGGTCAACAACTACCAGCTCCAGACCGCGCACGCCTTGGGGTACCACCAGGAAGCGCTGCCTGTCGCCGTGCCCGTGCACTCGCATGGCCACCACTGAGACGACGTCCGGCAGGAGAAGTTGTTGCTAAGGACAACCATGTTCGTGGTGGCATATCCCGTGTTAGATCCATGGTGTCCAGCCTTCGTACATGACGCAGAGGTTGTCGACGCTCGTGGCTTGCTGGAGGAGCCACTCGACGTGCGCAGGGCACGACAGCGGCGGTGCGTTCGGCGTCGTGTAGCCATCGAGCTTCTCCGTAACGCGCTGGAGGACCTGCAGCCCGTACCGATTGCGCTCTTCGACGCGGCCGACGTCGTTGCTCGCGTCGTTGTCGTCGTCGTCGTCGTCGTCGTTGTCTTCGTTGTCGCCGTCGTCCGATCCTTGTCGCTGTCATTGCCATCGTCTCTGTCATTGTCACTGTCACTGTCACTGTCACTATCGTCGTCGTCGTCGTCGTCGGACCACTCGTGTTCGTCTTGTTTCGAGAGGTCGAGCGCGTGGTGGGCAATGTCAAAGAAGCCGCCCATGGCGCTGTTGGTGAGCAGGACGACGGTCGCCGCCGTGTCCTCCTGCGTCGACGCGTGCACGACATGACGCAGCGCCGTCACGAGCTGCGTCCGTGCATCGATCGACGGCTCGACCGCCGCGCCGCCGCTCACAATGTTGGCCAGCGTCTTCTTCCGGCCAAAGGCCGCGTCCAGAGAGAGCGACTGGAGTGCTCTCGCCGGCGCTTCGAGGGCCGACACGATGCCATGCAGGCGGCGACTTACGCTTTCCAATGCCTTGAGCTTGGCCTGCAGGTCCGGGAGCACGCCGTGCTTGAGGCTCTTGCTCAAAAGCCGCACGAGCCGCTCGTTTTCCCAGAGCACATGGCTTGGGTTGGTCGAGAGCGCGCCGAACGCCTCGGGCAGCCACGACTGCTGGAGCTGCTCGAGCAGCGGCGCCAACGACGGCAACGTTCGGTGCAAGACCTTGTCCATCTCGGCGCGGGCGTTGGCGTGGGCCGCGTGGAGACAGTGCAAGCGATCGTACGCGGCCTTGCGCTCGCGCTCGAGCGCTGCGGCGCGTTTCTTTCGGTTGCGGACCGCCGCGCGGTGGGCTGCTGTCGCCGCCTCCAGCGTCATGTACTCGGTGATGACGGCGAGGCCTTCTTCGTCGAGCTCACGCACCCGATCGCTGTGGCTGTCGCGAAACGCGCTGTCCAAGTACTTGACCCACTCGATTGTGAGCTCAATGCCATCGGCCTGCGCCATGAGGGATCGCAGCTCTTTGCGCGTCGACTCGAGGGGTGTTTTCAGATGCGGACGGCGGCTTACCGCTGCGTCCAAGAGCGGCTGCGCGTCGATGAGCGCATCCTCGAGCGCGTCGCGCCGCAAGAGGAGCTCGTGCACCATCGCCTCCGTCTCGCTCAGCGTGTGCAGAACGGACGCGCGCGATGGCTCCGTGTCTTGCTGGACCCACGTGCACAGCGTCGCATGATGCGCCTCGAGCTGGCGCGTGTGCATGACCAACGCAGTGCGGTACGCGGCCACTTCGCGGTCCCAGAGATAGTGCCAGCGGTCTTGGAGGATGTCGAGCATCGGGCGCAGCTCGACCGCGTCCAAGAGTGCGTCGACCGTCAACGGACCTTGCACCATCGGCGACACAAGGGCCGTGACCCACGCGCGATCCAGCCCCGTCGCGCGGAGCTTCCACTCGTGTCGGATCGTGCCTTCAAGGACCGACTGCAGCGCAGCGTACGCCAGGTCCAAGACAGACGCCGCGGCTGTGTCGAGGACCGACTGCAGCGCGTCTTCATGCGCGTTGGCACACACGAGGCGACTCATCGTGAGAAGACACGTCACCCACTTGTGCTCGATGGCGTAGGCCGCCGACGGGTCGGACCACGTCGTCTCGAGCGTCGCGAGTTGACAGCACAGCGCGCGCAGCTGATGCATGCCCGGGAGCCGCCACACCGAGAGGGCGCATCCATAGAAGCGATGGAGCGGCGCGTGCCAGAAGTCGCCATCGTCCAGACTGTTCGGTTCCCAGCCCAAGGCGTCGAGCCATGCCGACCACTCGGCCCGGGGCACGGTCGCCAGTTCCGCGTGCAGCCGGTCGAGCTCGGCACGCAGAGGCGCGCAGTGGACCGACTCGGACGACGAGCGCCGGAGCGGGTGGAGCGGGTTGTACAGCGGCAAAAGCACGTCGCGCAGTCGTCGATGCATCAAGTAGGCCGGCTGAAACA